TTCCTTGTGGAGTGGCCCCGTCGATGTCCACTTATCCGCCCCCACCGATGCGTCGATTGTGAATGTGTGATAGCGATATGTGATAATCCGTTTATCTATAAATAATACAATTTATTAGTCACTTAAGATGCAACACCTCGGTTTTTTATTATTATAAAATGCCGATTCTGATAATGTTGTATGTATAAATCGTCCAGTTCATCTTGGCTCAAAAAACTATTTAGTATTTACTGATGATTACTGTTATAAAAATATATATTGTAATAATTAAAATCTAATTGTTGTTACTACTCACTTGTCAAAAAATACTTTCACTTAATAATTCTAATTTCTATTAATTGCTATTAGCTATACTGTTGAAGTGAGCTTTTAAAGCCAAAAATTGTTCTAGTATACTTTTGATGCAACCATACCAATAGCTAACCAACGAGTGATTATGATAGTGAATCAATTTAGTTGAAGACTTTCCATCATACAAAGCTTCAAACAAACTTTTTTTCGTCAGTTGTCTCAAACAGCTGTGTGAAAACCAATTTCTTGTCTATCGAACAAAAAATTCTAAGCTACTATAGGTACTTCTTTGCATGCATGGGCTAAGCAAATGTTAAGCGAATGACAAATACATTTAATAAGCTGAAGATCTGGTATTAATTCTTTTAATAGTGTACACAATGATTTTTTCTCACCATGTCTATAAGAAAATATTACAATTGAGGGAAACATAAAATTAATCATATAATATAATATTTATTTATTTTCGTCATAGTAACTACCAATTTTTCTAAACTGCTTGTATAAACTACAATTATAATTGAAATATTTTAAAAATAGTATATTATATTAATCAATACAAATTCGAAATGAGTTAAAAAATAATATTAATTTATGTAAAAGTTTATAATATTATTATGTAAACTCGGCCCGTGTTTCATTAATAAGACTAAAATAAATTTCTTAGTTCTTACCAAATCATATATGTCGGAGACTACCTACATTTGTAGGAGTTTACTATTCCCCCTATAAATTACGTTTTGCATTAATTATCATTTAATGATATACTATAAATTACGTATTAAAGGTATATTATATATTTTGTTTTGCGGTATTTAATTATTTTTGGTTATCGCTTTCCATTATACGTGCAAATACTTGAAAATTAAAAGCTATCGTTGGGTGACATTTTCAAAGTTTTAGGACAACTTGGGTGGGCCAACTTCTTAACTTTGACAGCTCTCACTGGTCACCCAAGTTACTTGCAATTATTTCTAAAAATGGACTTGAAAATTGTTGTTAATCATTAGCTTTCGTTTGATACTGATTTCAAAGTTCTGGGTCAAAATGGATGGAGGACTACGTGAAGTAGGTCCATTGAATGTTTGGACTTGCAAATTCTAAAAATAGACTTGCAAATACTTGCTTATAACTTGCAAAATAATGGCATAGATTTTAAAACAATTGCAGTATTTAGGTGTGCCTACTTCACGAACGTAGCACAAACGAGGGGAATCGCAGCAGCACAAATCATCACAAACGAAAAAACCCCGAGTTCAAACTCAAAATGTTTAATGGGCGTTGAATAATTTATAATTTAAACAAAAAACCGCCAATGTTCACATAGGCCCCATAATGGGCGTGCTGAGGACATGCGGTATAAATATTAATACCGTAATAATGTAAAAATAAGATTTCCATAATCCATACATTTATTTATTGTATTTTTTTTTACCATCGTGTGACAGAATTTCACTTACAAACTACTTTCGCGTCATGACTCGGACGACCGGAATGTACGTTTTTATATAGGTAGCCTTACGGGCGACGGGTACCTATACTGTATGTCTGTATATAAGTAGGTTTATCGTATATCTTAAATAATATTCATTCGTAAAGTAGATAATAATATGGTAAATGATAATTATTCAATATACATTATGTTTTAACTGGTTTTCGGTTTCTCCCGACGAGTCTGTTTAGTAAATTCACGTTACTTAACACGTTTTGCAGCTAGCATTTCAACGCCGTAATACGTACACATTAAAGTTATTTAAAGATAAGAGTCTATATGAAAATTTAGTAACGTGTCTACAATGATCCAAGTTAATATTTTGAAGCACAACCAGTTTCCTATAAAGAAATGTATCTATATAAATATAATACCATTAGGTACGTTATAATGTACCTACCTATTGTATAGGTGTGTCATATAATATATAGGTACCTAATATAAATAAAATGTTCATTTCTGAAATATACCTGTATTATACGCAAGAATACAGGTATAACTACAGATACAAAATATGTATTAATGTAACAATATTATAATAATCGTGGTTCAAAATGTATTTATGTAAAAATTACATTTTAATTTATTAAAAATAATAAAAAATAAGCAGCTCATACATTATGCATGCTAATATTGTATATAAAAGATAGTTAGTGAATATTAATTAGAATAAATTATTATGGTATAAACCTGTGTATACCTACATATTTAATTATGGAATTGCACAAAACTTGTTATTTATATTTTCTTTACAACATACTTTTAGTAGTTTATTGGAAATGAATAAAAGTGAACATTAAAATTCAAGAAAAAGATCAATTAACCAATAATATAACATTTTTGTTGTTGTATTATTAGATATGATTTACCCATTTTTTAAATAAATATAATATATACTATGTATTTAGACCAAATATAAATTATTGGACTAAAATATAACGTACCTAATATAAAATTTTATAAGTCGTATTTTTTGATTATTTACTATTATTTTGTTATTATAATAACCACCAAAAATAAAAACGCAATATTTAAAGACACAAAAATAATAATTTTTTGTAAGCTTTAATGCCTATAGACTATAGTCTTAATATACATGTATAATATAATAATATCTACATAATATTATTTTCATATTGCATTTAGAAATAATTATAAATTTTATGAGCACTGACCAGTGTCACTTTTATGGCGACCCAGATATAGTGATCATTTGTGTCACATTCCTGTAATCCATTGAACTCTTTCCGGAAGTCCATAATAACTTTGTTCTTGGCCACAAATATAATAAATATATACCTATACTCCTTGTAGATAGGTAATTGAGTTTATAATTACTTTTTTGATCCCTTTAAATTGGAATAAATGAGATAGCATATAAAATAAAAATGGCATTCCAAACCAATTAAAAGTTATTTTAGATCAAATTAAATAATTTTTGACCAACAAATCAAAAATTATTTAGAAGATTTGTATTAACTGTGTAAATAAAAAGACAGAAAGTTCTAACTTTAAATTTATCAAACTTTTAGATTAACAAGTAGTAACTTATCATATTACCTATACCTATAATATTTTGTACTAATAGTTAAATAAGTAGATTTTCTTTATCTTCATCAGTCATCACTTATATTATATCACTTATCACTTATATTTTGACTTAACTTAAAGAGATTAATGATTACAGCATAGTAAATTTATTTAAGTGAAACTACATTACGTTTTAAATGACACAATTGTGCGCATGTTGCACACAAATTATGAAGCTTCCTGGTTTATTATAATTAATAAAGGTATTAGGTACTACAATAAAATATATAGGTACCTGCCTATTTAAGAAATTCATAAGTACTCGAGGTACGCCACGATTTCAACTATATTTATAGCGAAGGAGTTTTAAATAATGAATATGTAGGTACCAAAAGTACTCAACAGACTATATTAACAGACTATATGTGCCCTATGTGAATGGATATTACCCTTTTGTATTCTTACCTCTCTTTGTAAACAAGCAATATTCCTGTTTTTGAACCGGTTTGTCTGAACTTATTGAGTTCAGATTTAATTCTTGGACAATGAATATCAGTTAGTAAGAACAAAATTAAACTGGCAGTCGGCATACCACAGGTGGGTAGCCAGTAGAAAATTAAATTTTCGTAGTGATAGATTCCTGGAAAAAAATATCAATTATAAAATATTAATTATATTATGATAAGCATGCAATATATAAATTTAATATATAGAAAACTGGCCAGTGGAGCCCATGTTCATTCAAAGTTATATCGCAAAATGTTAAACTTTATACAGACACCTATATACCGTCGATTATTTGTTTTTTTCCCTTTACGAATCCAACAAAATTTTTTTTTCAAAACCATTAAAATAAGTAAATAATGTAAACATTACTTTTGAAAATATAATATATACATAACCAATATTTTTTAATCAAAATTAAATTAATAATTTAAAACTGTAGGTACCTAACAATGTTTCCTACCTCTCTTTGAACAACTATCTGTTAAACTACTTATAATGGGTGTATGTATTTTTGTTTTGTGTGAGTAGATAGATAATAATATTGTTTTGAGACAATAATTAGACAAATCGATATGTTATTCCCCCAAAAATATTATTTTCCATCTTTTTTGAATGGGGGATTTTCCTCTAAAACTATTTAAAAACATAGAAAGAATGATTCTGCGTTAATGCGTTTTTTCTATATTGAGCGTGGTACAGAGAGAGAAAACAAATAGTGCGCTGACGCCTGAAATCCTCTTAAGGACTTTCACAACAACAATTCATAATTTTCTAGCGTCAGTTGTTGGGAGTATAGCATAAGTGGCAACTATAGCACAAACACGGTGGGTACTTTCTCCGCGTATAAAATGTATTGGTAAATATATCTATAATCTCCATAATACCTACTTAAGTTTAATAATATTTATGGACATTTTTACAAAATATATTATACCACCCGGCACCCACCCCTTAAATTAGGTCTGGAACTTGAACCATGTCCCCGGCACCACCGTGTGTATATACAAGCACAATCAAAATTTTGCCAATCGGTACCACTACTAACCTCCACCATCCCTTTCCGGCCAAATAACTACGGCACCAGCTGCAGGTGTCGATACGCTCTGTATAAGCACCATACTCAACTTTAAACTTATACATAGGACGCCGTGGACTTACTTTGGGGTCGCCGACGAGTATATTATATCCCGGGTCGCAGCACTTGTTGACGCACGTGCAATTGCCCCGGGCCGCAGTACTGGTCACGTGGCCGGCACGTCCGGGCCACCGGCTCTCGCTGGACGGAGTCAGGTCGAAGCGATAGTTCGGCGGAAACTCGATGGGCGACGGGTGCGCCTCCATCAATCCACGCACCTCCACGGCCGGCACGTCGACTAGCACTTCCGCGGCGTTGCAATATGGCTATATGCCCATCATTGGACATATCCAACGCCACATCGGCTGTCGCTGCAGCACCGTCCTCTCGGACTTGCCGCCGTGCCCTTCCGGTCTGCCGCAGAACCGCACTTCCGGATCGTACAGCCGACAAATCACTTCCTGGCCGGCACGATATCATCCATGGGAGACGCGACTCGGCCGCCGATCGCGACAACGAGAAACGCGATGAAACACGATCGGACGGTGTTCATTGTGTGCGCACACTGTTCGGGCGGCGGCGGCACATTCACTTTCTCGACTGTCGGCCGCCACGTATGTATTCCAGCAATGGAGACCATTCGACGAGCCGCCGCCCCACTCTTATTTAATATTATATTATTGGTTTTCGTTGCCTAAATTTTACCATATGATTGTGCGACGAATTACGATTATTAATTATGTTATAATGTTAATATAAATTAATAATAAATTGTCAATATTAGTATTGAAAGTTCAAATTTTGACAAAATACGTAAAAATCAAGAAAATTATTATTGAGTTAGAAATACATAAAAATTTTATTTTTAAATCTAACATTTGAAAATTTAATACAAGATTCCCCATAAGTATGTCTACCTTTATCAAAAAAAAATTTCTACAGAAAAAACCAATTCAATTTTTCCATCATTGGTTATTCTCATGTATGTGTATGGCATTTACGACTAACAATTATTTTAAGCAAACCAAGCAGACTATGTTGTTAGCATGTTTCACCAAAGTTCATATTCCAAATTCGAAATTCATCAAAATCGTAAAAATCACAGTTGTGCTGCTCTAAGCATAGTCAACTACCGGTCTCTATAGTTCTATACTCCACGCTAAGACCGATGACCATGAGCAGTTTGCGTCTAAAACCCGGGTTTTCCAATGTTAACTGGTTATGCTCTTCACGTGCGCTGAGTATATATTGTTATGATTGTTTAAAATTCCGGCATGTTCGATAATTTAATAATTAATCATTTCATACAACTTATAAAATCAATTGTACGCAAATTAATTGGTAATATTCGTAAATTGAAGGAAACTTTTGTAAACTAAAGTTATTTGTTCATATTATTAATATATTTTTTCATATTGTCTAATAAAATTGTAAACTATTTAAAACGAAAATATGATTTTTGTGCTAACTTTTACCATTTTTTACTGAAATTATAAGATTGATTATATTTTTAATAGTGTTTTTCAAGTTAAGTTACCTATTACACTTATCAGTTATCAATGACAATCCTTAACCGTTTAGATTCTAGAAGAACTTGAAAATTATTTGATTTACAACGACGAAGTGGGTTTTTTCTTGTTATATGATGTTACATTATATATTATTATGATGACTGATATAATTGTTTGGGGTTATATAGGTAGAATAAGTATTGCATATAATATGTGGAATAATAATAAACGTGTGAGATCTAAATGGGTGCCAAGTTAAAATGCCAACTTAGGATAATATATTGAAGTCTGAGGTCTGACTTGACTAAGAATTATATTATAGCCTTCGCAAGTTCTAAAGCTGTGAGTTCTTATTTTATTCTTCCGAAAATCATCTTCACTCTTCCATTATTGTTTTAGTAGGTACTTAATAATAATTCGTATATGAAAACTATCCAAGTCAGACCTTAGGCTTCAATATATTATAGTAAATTGGCATCCTAACTTGACACCCCTTTAGATCTCGCTTCTTTTGTCGTTGAAGTCAACAACCAAGGCATATATTATAGTAATGAACTTGGCTCTCATTTTACATACATGTTTTTGGTGGGATTTAATATTACCCAAACACGTCAACATTATTAGATAACAGTATAGTATTATAGTATTATACAATACGTATTGGGCAACACAGAATTTAGTTTTAGTTGTTTGGTCTTTATCGTGCGTAGTGTACAGCATACGGTATATTTTGTTTAAAAAATCTAACTTGCATATTTTATTTTTATATAATGTCTAAAGTAAATAATGCTTCTCGGTATGTAAATGAATATCCAAACATATTTTAAACAGACCGAAATATTTTATTTTGCAATCTTTGTTGAAAATCATCGATATTTATTACTTTTGGTACTCGTCTAATAATAATAAATAATAATTTAATATAAATAGTAATACTTTCATTAGCTTATAATACTTTTATAGGGGGGACGAGGTGGCCGAGCGGTCTAACGCGTCGACTGCGGCGCTGGCAGTCGCGGGTTCGCCTCTCGACCACTGGGCGGCATTTTTCTCCGGGCAAGTCACGGTGTCCGGAGTACAAGTGCCGCCATCCCCCAACCCGGGGCATGGCAGAAACCTACGGGTGCCCCAATAAAAATTCTGCCACCACAAACACACACGTGTACCAACCTACCCAATCTAAAAACCTACAGTTCCCTACCAACACCCAATGGCCTATGTTGCCGCGGGTTATCCAATAAAAAAAAAAAAAAAAATACTTTTATACTTATGTTATTTTGCATTTTTTTTTTTTTAATAAACAATTTTTATACATAATATATTATTAATTTGTAAAAATCATTTTGCATATTTTTTGAATATTTATGATATGAATCTGCATATTTTGGTCAATAATAATAATTAATAATACTAATAAATAATATATAAAATTTGAATGATAATCATTATGTTATTATAATATTGATAAATAAGTACATATTATATTGTATGATAATTCTATATAAATATTTATTTATTTGTTTATTTATGGATATTTATACTCTTTGGTAATAAATATTTAAAGTACAATAAGTTGAATATCAATTTGACAAATATTATACTGAAATTAAAAATATTTTATTATAAATGAGTTAATATTTTCCAGATTAATCGTATTCCTGTTTATGAATCCTAACATCTTAAATGATTTTTTAAATAAAGTATTAAAACTAATTAATTATAAATTTTATAATTAAAGTCATAACTAATAAGTAATAACATTAACTATACGAAAACAAGTAATAACGCCGCAATTATTTATATTTAGTGAATGATAGTAATTAAACAAATTTAAGTATTCAAAATCAAATTATAAATTTGTAACTGAAGCCATATTTCAAACAAATAGTGGGTAATTACTTATTATATCCATTACAACAAATATACTATTGTAGTATTGTCCACAAATTATTCCTGACGTCTATTCGTCGACTCCACAATAGAATTGGATAACAATGTAATATGTATTTATTAGGTAAAATTTAATTTTTGTTTGATACCAAATACCAAAAAAATCACCCCATGTTAAATCCTTTTTTTAAATCATTTACTGGCAATATATAAGCTTACTCAAGTGAATTAACCTGTATATTACAGTTATTATAATTAAATACAATAATATTTTGACAACGAATTTCTGAGCGTAAATTTGGTATTTTACGACTTTGTAAGAGGGAAATAACACATGCGGGTGTGGCATGCGTCCTCTTATAATATATGTAGAGCTGCATCGAGTAACAATATAAATTACTGCTTGCTTTAAATTCTCCCTTCTTTAAAAAAAGCAGCATATGAATGTGTTTGCAGTATTTTTACAACCTATGTTTATAGAACAAATATTATTTTTAAAGTTACTTTGTTGTTTTCTATAATTTATTCATTGTTATAATATAGATGATGGATGGCACGAATATCCAATAAATAACTATACCTACATAATTAGTTTTAGAAAAACTGATTGAAAATCGTAAGCCTTCATTTTAAAATTAAAAAAATTAACAATAACATGTTATTCAAATTTTACACATATACCTAAAGTATAATCGTACAATATTATTTAACTATTTACCTTCCGAGCTTTTACTATTATATTGTTAACTGATGCTGTATTAAGGTCTTTTTCAACACACAATTGAAACGTGTGTACACTACAACAAACACATTGTGTTAAAATTTGCTCATTTCTAATTCAAGTTCTATACAAGCTTCTTGTTCCAAATTATTATTACCATTTAAATCTACCACTGTATCTATCTGTCATAATAGCTTGAATTGTAGATTAAGATAATTTGTCATGACCATCATTAGTTAAAGATACTCTGTTTGAAAATGTAGTAACGTGTCTACAATGATCCAAGTTAATAATTTGAAGCGCAACAAGTAACAAAGAAATGTATCTATATTAATATAATACCATTAGGTACATTATATATGTACCTATTGTATTATAGGTATATCATATATAGGTAATATAAATAAAATGTTCATTTTAGTTCGTATGTTTTCAGCTTATCCGTGACGGCCGTATGTTCCAAAATCTCTCTCCCGATAATGTTCGCACAAGCAACGACAAACACTATAATTTGAAGGTTTGTAAAAATAATAATTATGTAACAAACATCAAATCAACTCAAAACCATATGTATCACAGTAAAATCGCCTCTTAGGAAAGGGGTACACGTAACACTCTCAAACACAAACTCAATAAATCAAACACTATCAAGTAGTATCAACAATTAAAAAAGCAACAGAATTAAATACCTTAGACCAATACACCCCAAAAAACAAATAGTATTAAACAAAAACAAAGAAATCATAGATAGCGCACTAGAAGTCACAAAACCAGTCGACGAAAACAACCAACTACCAATATCCCACGACACTTTCAAAGCGATAATCGAAAACGCACAAAGAAAAGCAGACATAAAAAATTATGTGTTCCATACAACATTGACCCAAGTATTCTTTTAAATTTATAGCATTATGTCACCCCTACATAAAAAACTCTTCACGTTTCATGAAAACTAGGTTTAAAAAATTATCAAACTCACTTTAATATATCACTTCATTGGATAAAAAACAATAAAAATATTATGAAAAAAACCAACAATATTGTAATGTACCTACATAAATAACCAAATTGTTTTTAAAACTATATATTGTATTTATAATAATTAATTTTTTTTTGTTCTTCTATTTTATCACAAATGTAATGCTAATGACCTTCGTTGTCGAAGAAGAAACGTATAATGTATTGATCAATAAAAAAAAAAAAAATATTGTTTCTGAAATATACCTGTATTAACAAGTATACAGGTATAACTACTGCAGATACAAAATATTTATGAACCTAACAATATTATAATTGTATTTATGTAAAAATTTTACATTTTAATTTATTCAAAATAATAAAAGGTAAACAGCTCATAT